CACCACCTATCCTGCCAATAGTCCAGGCATGTCTGATCTAGAGCAATCCACCCACAGAATGCCAGTGGTTCAGTGAACCACTTCCGGAACTGAACAGCAATCGTCTTACAATCCTTACCTCGTTTGGAATGGCTTCCACTTTCTGTGATTCCATTTCCAATCCAGCATTTACAACCGGCAGCATTTCCCTATCATGGTCATTCCCACCCTCCTCGGCCTCCTCTGATTCAACCAGAGGAAAGGCCGAATCTGGTGCGGCGCAATCATTAGGAGCTGGCTGGCCTGTGCTCTGACCTGCTGCCTCATCCTGCAAGAGCAGAAGTGGTTCCCTGCTGCTCAAAACTTTTCTTCTGTACACAGATGACCTCCCCTTCCAGCCTGGATGATGTGCACGCTGCATTCGACAACAACGCACCGCATCCGAAATTGTGTCAGCGATTATGTCAGAATTAGGTCAAGAGTCCATTTCAGAGATCTTGCCACAGATTAGCTCAAGACTCAAGAGGCCATTTCAAGATTTCAGCACAAATCAAAAGTGTGACTGTGTCCTTCCGGGCACCCGTTAAAATTGGAACGATACAGAGAAAGCAGATTAGCATGGCCCCTGCGCAAGGATGACACGCATAAATCGAGAAAGTCTGAGTGTCTTAGTTTTCTTCCACTGATGGCACGCCGGTACAAGCACAGAGTTACCTCCCAAGAATTCGTCGAAGCGTGAAATGGAGAGTTTTGACCGCCGTATAGCTCAACATCATCCTTGGTGCTCAAGGATGATGCACCTTTAAATACAGAGCACCGACCCCAAGCAGCCATTCAGAAGGGATGATGAAACTGTTGAATTACAGACCTGGGTTTGAGCTCCACTAGAAGCAGATGAGTGAAATACTGTAATTCTGAATTACCTAGGGCCGAATCCCAAACAATCTCCTCAAGTACAGCCCCCCTACATAAAATATGGCACCAGCAGCACCGAGCATCTACGCCTATCATTACCCCATCAAAAAAATCTGATGTAGAATCCACACATCTGCACAACACACGTCGACAATCCATTTCTAAGAACGTGCGTACACATTGTCCAGTGGCAGGATTTTCGAAAGCTTGTACACAAAAAATAACATCCAACAATAATGAAACGATTCAAATGACCAGATTAGACACCCATCTCTCTCTCTCTCTCTCACACACACACACACACACACACACACACACACACACATCTTATACACATCTAGATGTGTATAAGAGACAGCACACACACTTGCTTAACTGTTGAACCTCCTTGTCCTTTATTCAAAACACATCTTTGATCGTGCTTGCTTGACCGTATTCGTACTGTCTCTTATACACATCTAGAACGGGGATGATGGTAGATGTACGATAGTAGCGAAGGGGGTAAACCATGAATGGTGGGTGGTAGGTGAGATTGATAGAGAGGGGGTGGTGAGGTGGAAGGGGGGAGGACAAGGGCCGGGGGGGGAAGGGGTGAAACAGAAGGCGAGGAAAGGGCATATAACGGCACATAAGGTCAAAACAGGGAAAAGCTGGGGACAATGACCCCTGTTATTGAGGGGGGCCACGGTAATTGGATGAGGGAAGACGCATAGTCTGGAAAGGCAGTGTGTACATAGTGAGTCTATACATACAGGGAAAGGTGTAAATAGACGCTGGATACTGCGAAGTGCAGACTAGGAACTAAAGTACTACACAAACAAAGACGCAAATTTGTGAGGTATAGCATATAGGAATGTGATATACGGGCCTTCGGATAGAGGGGACCTGGACTATGCAGCCTGTGGGATTTCCAGGAGAGCCCCCCCCCCCCCCCCCCCCCTTTGCCCCTCGCCTTTCTTGGGACCCCCCTGCTGCATGAGTGGTTGCTGCTGGTAAGCTTCCCCGCCAGCTGGAGAGCCCCCAAAGAAAGACCAGGGTTGGGGGGAGGGGCGGTCCGGGGAAATACCTCCCTTGTGCGTGGCTAGTACCGCAAGGTTGCAAGGCTGCTCCCTCTTCTTTGCTCTCTCTCTCTTCAACTCATGCTTACCGGTGATAAGCAACTGGACTGATGTCCCCCAGAATAGGAGCCTTTGGGGTCGAAAAAAAAAAAAGAAAAAAATAAGCAACTGGACTGATGTCCCCCAGAATAGGAGCCTTTGGGGTCGAAAAAAAAAAAANGATTAGACACCCATCTCTCTCTCTCTCTCTCACACACACACACACACACACACACACACACACACACACACACACACACACACACACACACGCACAGAAATAGACCTACAAAACAATTGTCAAGCACGTTTCATAACAACGCTCCAAACAGCGGACTGGAAAACGGCCATCACCAAAACCGACCAGGTATGATCCACAACATCTGTAAAGTCCTCCCCCGTCCCCCTCAAAAGACTGGGAAGAAGAGGATTTTTATTTACCTTATGTGCACAGAGTGACGATGCAGAGCCGTATGACTTTGTGCAACCATCGATGTTGCACCTGTGCGTCTTCTGATCCTCCGTGAGCCATCTCCTTGGCCTTCGTCTGCGAACAATACCCTAAAGACCCCAGTGTTGGGTAATTGGTGCCAGTGAAGGGAACAGCATTTACGGTCGAGGGTCAATGATACACGTACATGGTTTCCTAACCAAAACTTCTAGGGTTTAGGGGTCAGGGGACGATCTTAAGTACATATAATTAACTAACTACTGGAGAACAAGATTTACGGTTTACGATTTAGGTTTTAGGGTTTATCATTCGGAATTCGTAGTTCAAGTCACTAACCAGGATTAAGCTTCGAGGGTATAGCAATCATAATACACTTTTTTTCCTTTTTTTTTTTTTTTTTAAGGTAATGGCTTGTGACTAGGAATGTAGGGTAGATGGAATTAGAATTTGCAGACTGCAATTAAGCGCTCCAGCTAGGTGGTATAGGGATTTGTGGGTTTAATTAGGTACAGAGATAGAGGTAATGGGCGTTGACCGATTCCACAGTTCGAGGCCTCCTGTTTTTGTTTTTTGTTTTTTGACAGTTCGCGGCTTTGCGGTTTCCACAATCTAGGAACTATTAATTTATTAGGGTTCAGATATCCGACATCGAGTTCGTGGACCTTTCTCAGGGTTAGTAAAGCCCCAACAATGCAAAGTTTTACGTGTCACAATTTAGGAATTAGGGTTTAGGGTTTAGGGTTTAGGGTTTAAGAGGGTTTAGGAGGGTTTAGAATTTCCAGTTTAGGGCCTAAACACTAGGGTTTCATAAGATTTACGGTTTGCATATCCTTACTTAGGAAAAAGGGTTTAGGACACAGGATCGTGGGAGTTAGGGGTTATGGGTTGGGGTTTAGGGTTTGCGGTTTGGGGTTCAGGGTTAAAGGTTTCAATTTGGGGTTTCAGGTTTCGGGTTAACGGTTTATGGTGTGGGGTTGAGGATTTAGCGCTTGGAGTTTGGGGTTCCAGGATTAACAATTATGACGCAGGGGTTTGGGTTTAGGATTAGACTTGGAATGAAACCTTTTTTTTTTTAAATTAAGTGTTATAAGTTTTTTTTTCTTCCTTCCCCAATTGAGGGTTGTAGGCTTTAGCTTTTTAGGTAAAGGGAAAAAAAGAGAATGTGGTGTGTATAATGCGTTCTAGGCTTAAAGTTCTAATAATAATGAATCAATAATGTTGCATGGCTATCATTAGGATTCAATAAATGGTTTAGCGGACCAGTGTTCTCCATGTTTACAGCCCAGGATCTGTCAATCAACATTTCGGTTTTAGCCTTTTAGGGTTTAGGGTTTAGGGTTTAGGGTTTAGGTGCTTAGGTTAAACGTAAGGGTTGAAGTCTCTGGGAGAGAGAATAGGTAACAGAGTGAAGGGGCTTTAGGGTTCAGAATTTCAGAACAAAGCAGATTCAAACCGACCAACACCGAAACCAAATAAACATGAAATATGAGAGAACCACAAGCAAACAAAGTTAACAAACAGATTAACGGTTGTTTAACTTTTTTTTTTTTTTTTTAACCACAACAAGCAAACAGATCCACCCGAAGTGTTTCATTCCATTGTCGTTCGCAGCCTTGTAAAAACACTCAAGAGAATCATTCATGGAATCACCAGTCTATTCTCTTTCTCTGCTAATCTTTTTTTACTCTTTCTAAACTTTTCCTTCAACGCTCTGCTGCCATTTTATTGTTTTTTTTTCCCCCTTTCCTTCTCTCCCCTTCGTCTCCTTTTTTTCCTTTCCGTGTTTGATTCTTTCCCCCCCTTTTCTTCTCTCCCTTTCTTCTCTGTTTTTTTTTCATTTCCTTCTCCCCCTTTCTTCAATGCTCTGCTCCTGTTTTACTTGCTTAACGATGTTCGACCTCTCTCGACAAAGTCATCCATAATGTCAATATTCAATGATATATATGTATATATCTATATATCATCACAAACAGAACTGCCCGGTAAAACCGTAGGCAGAGAGAGAGAAGAGGACAACAAACGAGGGGCATATATATATATATCGTCACAAATAGAACTGCCCGGTAAACCGTAGGCAGAGAGAGAGAAGAGGACAACAAACGAGGGGCTGTGACAAACTGTTTCGTCAGAGTTTCAGACTCATCAGGAGGCTGAACCCTCAACAGTCTGCAGAATCCCCTCACTGATTACACTGTAAATGATAATCTACCTTAACCAAAATCAAAGTAGACTATCACTCACCCACACCAGATGGAAAACTCTACAGACTGTCGGTTCACACCCCATCACAAGCCAGCAAAACATCCACGAAACAAAGAAAGGTCTGTCACAGCCAAAAAATACATATATAAATGGCGTAAGATATCGAGGCAGGACAAGTCGGGCAAGCTAGAGATGCAGAGTGGGTGTAGGGGATATATGCAGTTGCAGACACATCCCTTAGAACTCCAAGAAAGAGGAGTTTTATCTCACCCCTTTTCTTTCCCCGTTTTCTGTGATCCTCAACTAACACAAGAGCACGCTTCAAAACAGTAAAAGGAGAAAAAAAAAAAAAAAACTGTAAAAAAATTTACAACGAAAATCCATAGCCTAAGAGGTAAGCCAAGAAAAAAGGAAAAGCAAAACTCAACCCAAAAATCAGCCCTTAAGTTCAATAACCACAATCAGGGCATACTCACACGAGGCACCTATAATCACAGAATCGCAAAGTCAGCGGCCAAATCGAGTTCCTTTAAAAGGAGGACGCAATCTGACCGCCAAATTTGTAATTCTGCGGCTTTTAAGGGCCTACCGTCTTCACCCAAATAGAACGCCCGGTAATTATCACCTTATCACCGTATCTAGGCTGAAAGTTGTGCCAAATACAGCTATAATGACCAGGCGTTCTATTCGGGTGAAGACGGCAGCGTGAGTATACTCTCAGAGCTCCTGTCCTCATGGTTCAGCATTTACAGTTTTCTAGTTTGTGTTTTGTTTTTGACTTTTTCCTTGCTTGGTAGCATTCATAGATATTCTGGTCTCTGAAGAGTTAAGAAAAATAAACAAAAAGATATTCTGGTCTGGGACTGCGGAAACCTTGCAAGGAATTTGGTATCATTGGCACGCTGGTCATTTATACTTTTTTGTTTTTTTTCCTTCATTTTCCTTTTTTTTTTCCCCTTCTATAGCAGATCAGAACAGATTCCGTCGGTTCCGATTCCTCCAATTTCTCCCATTTCTTCGATTCCTCCGATTTCTCCGATTTCTCCCTTTCTACCTGTGGATGACCGGGCAGCTCCCTACGACTACATAGCACACATGTATATCATCACATAGAACGGCCCAGTGAACCATTGGCAGAGAGGGGAGAAAAGGACAGCAAACGAGGGGCTGTGACAGACTGTTATTATATTTTAGCTTATAAATTGTTGTAGAGAACTGCCCGTTCAACCCTCGGCAGAAAGGGAGAAGCAGAGAAGAAACGGGGGGACTGTGATAGACTGTTTTATCCCGACGAAACTCCGACGAAACATTATGTCACAGCCCCTCGTTTGTCGTCTTTTTCTACCTCTCTGCCTACGGTTCACTGGGCAGTTCGGTATGATGATATTTATAAATAACATATATGTATGCATGACAAACATACATCGTCAAACAGAACTGCCCGGTAAACCGTAGGCAGAGAAGGAAAAGCGGACAACAAATGAGGGGCTGTGTTTCGTCGGAGTTTCACTGACTCATCAGGACATATATGTACATATAATACTTGTGAACGTTTCGTATGTAAAAATATGCACAAACAGAACGAAGCGAATTCTTACATCTGTTGAAGCGCCTGTGCCTGTTGTGGAGGGGCCACTTTGCCCACTTTGGCTTTGGCCCCTCATGGGGCCTACGACGTCTTCCTCAGCAGAGCCGACATGGCTGGCGCAGACACCAGGGCTCCGAGCCCTCCCACTTTCACAAGATGGTGCTGCTCCTCCGCCCACTGTACTTGAAGTGTATGCTTGGACATACCCTCCTCCTCCTCCTCCCAGAACCTGACCTCCCCTTCCTAATAACCCCCCCCCTTCCCTCTCAATAGAGTTGACATCATCGCGTTGATAATGATACAATTGCTGCCCAGTCATCTTCTCCCTGGAGGAATTCTGGAAGCTTGCCGACGAGCAGAGATTCAATCCTGAATCTGAGTTCATCATTAACCGCCTTTCCCCACGTTGCCTGTCCATCTCCCCCGCCCTTCCTCCTCCTCCCCCTCCTCCTCCTCCTCCTCCTCCTGCTGCTGCTGCTGCTGATCCCTCTGGTTGAAAATCGCAACTCTCTGCCATGCCCCCAACTCCACTTGTCTTTTCCGACGGATGGAGCCTCTGCTGCCGCAGAACCTGCCCCCCAGGAAACATGCCAGGCTGATCTCCTTTGCCCCTGCTTCCTCTAAGCCTGTCAGCAGAATTAGCTTGTGCATTGGACATCACTCTCTCATTCTCCTGCATAGCACCGCCGGCAAGCTCCACAGCATCCCCAATGGAGCGCGCAGCATATCTCTTTGCCGCAGGCATGGCCATCTCGTCTGCGTCTTCCTGCGATGGCGCTCTGCTGCCACCATGGTGGCCGCTGACACCACTGCTCCCAGCAGCTGTCAATTCGAGATCGAGGGAAAGGCGTGTTTTCACAAGGGGGGAGGGCACGTACCTGGATCCTCGCCCCTGCGGTTGATTCGCCGGGGGACCGCCAGGACACATGGCCAGGGAAAGGTGTTTTCCCGGGGGAGACGGGACTTCCGTCGTCGTGTTCCTTCCCGACTGACGCACGTAAGACTCTGGCCGAGTCCCACTTGGTCCAGCCAGAGTTTGCATCGCTTGTACTGCAAGGGCATCCGGAGGAGACTGCTCGTCTCCAACTGCCCCCAGTCGCTGATCCCATCCATCCAACGGCCCTCTTGCCAGCATGGCAACCCGCCGTGAACTAATCTCGTTTGCGGTAGTAGGGCAGATCGGGCCCCCCACATGACCGCCGGAAGCTGCTGTGTAACCCAAAAAACCGCCATCCTCTCGATGACCATCCTCTGATTTAGACCGCAGGGAAGCTTCCTTGAGATGTAGCACTTGTTGCTGGGGAGAAACGAGGGCGTGTCGGCGCTCCGCATCTGCAGCCGTGGGCAATCCCTTGTTGCCGGGGGTAAAACAGAGCGCATGGGGGTGACCCGCCCCAAGCGACCAAGCAGTCAGCGCCAGATCACCTTGAGGGTGATACGGATGGTCAGGACCATAGACATGACCGTGCTGCTGCTGGTATTCGAGGTGGTGCAGCTGCAGCTGCTGCTGGTGCTGATGAAATGCTGTCGATGCTGATTGGTGATGCTGACTGGCGCGGAGATTAGGGTGAGGATAGAGGCGCTGCTGCTGAGCATGAAGGAACCCGTGCGGTCCATCAATCGCACCTCTGGTCCGCTTCGACGGCAGGCATGGCTGGCAGCAAGCGAGAGATGCCAAAAGACAACCCACAAAAAACGACAACCAACATGTCAGCACAGAGACACACGAGGTGAGCAACATCGACAACAATGACCTCCCACAACCCCATCAGTCACCTCTTCCCGTTCTTTCTCCCACTTCGCCTCACCCAATGCCCCATGCTAGAAAAGACCGCTCTGCAACAAGCCTAACACAAACACTCTAGTTTCTTCCACCGAGACGGGGATGGGAGATGGTCTGGTCTGGTCTCACTTCTTTTCCTGTCTTCGACCAAACAACGGAGATGGAAGGTGGTCTGGTCTGGTCCCGCTTCTCTCTACATCATACTTGTAACGAGATTGCGGCCCAAATTTTCATTCATGGGACAGGCATTCCTCATCCCAAATCCTGTTCCATTCAACAACTGCAGATTTATTCTTCCGCTTCACTCATCGCCCTCTCCACGACAAGGAAGAGTGACCTGCACTAGGACAAACATCAACGCGAGCTATCGCAGTTTTCTGCACAAACCTCGGAAGGTTCAATCCAACGAGACTGACGAGACTGAGATAATGAAAATGTGCATTGGACCAAACTTTGGGAATCTGGTCCAAAGTCTAATCCAACAGGACACTCGTGATCTCACTCATACCCTGTTCCATCGTTCCACGCAATGAGTCCACTCCTCAAGCAACGGTCGTATGGCATATGCAGACGCTACACATGTAGATGGTATGGTGTGGATGCTACGTATGTGGACATGAATCGGTCCTTTTTACCCTCAAGCACAGTGTCAAGTGAGGAGAGACTGAGTCATGAGCAGAGGCCTGGTGGTGACATCGTCAGGTGCAGAGCACCAGGTCACGTCCGACCATCAGGCACAGAGCACCGGGTCAGGTCCAACCATAGGGTGCAGAGCACCAGGTCGGCAGATATGACCCCATGCATTTGACACTCCCTATGGGAGTGGCAAGGTCGGCGGCAAACCCCTCTCACGACGCGTGGTTAATGGAAGCCCCAAAATTCGGGGGGGTTTGCCGCATCATCGACAGTGCACAATCCGCCTGCAGCCAAGCCATCCTCTACCTACCTCCTCATCAAGAGCGACACGCGGCCTGGTGTACAGACCCTCTACCTCCTCATCAAGAGCGACACGTGGCCTGGAGTTCTTTTTTTGTTGTTTCCCACCTTTCTATCGACAGTGCACGATCCGCCTGCAGCCATGCCCTCCTCTACCTACCTCCTCATCAAGAGCGACACGTGGCCTGGTGTACAGACCCTCTACCTCCTCATCAGGAGCGACACATGGCCTGGTGTACAGACCCTCTACCTCCTCATCAAGAACGACACATGGCCTGGTGCACAGACCCTCTAGCTCCTCATCAAGAGCGACACACACACACGGTGTGCGCTATACAAAGCCAGCCATTTTTGGAGGGATGCCAGCCCCGGACCCACCGCCCCTGACAATACCACTCCCCTGCGCTGCATCCGGGACATATTGTCTTGCTTCCTGTTTCGGTTTTCAATTCATCGGAGGGGTGCCTGCCATGAGCTTTACTAAGTGACATACACAATCACACTGCAAGTGTAGTTTCACTCTCACAGACGTCAGAGAACGCGAATGAAAATGAACATGTCCGATAAATATTATGGAAATGCAAATACAACAAAATATTGCGAGGGTGCCCACCGTGACTTCCGCACCTAGTCCTTTGTTGCCACCATGGAGGAGTGGCCACCATGTCTTCCAAGTTCGGCACCGAGTCATTCCCCAGAGTCCCCCCCCACCCATGACATTCCTCATGTTTTTTTTTTTTTTTTTTTTTTTTTTTGCCGGACTGCTGCTCCCCGTAATGGAAGGAGCGTGACGTTCTTAAGCCACCAGCTCATCTGGAGAATTCGAATGAGCTTCTCTGAAAAGTTAGGGGAGTCGGGACAGGGCCCACCTGGGGGCGGGCCAACTTTTTTTTTTTTTTTTTTTCGGTTCATGGCTGTGTCTACTGCCACCCCACGGCACGGGACTTTCTTTTTTTCTCTGGCCCTTTGGACGCCCTGTCCCGAGCCTCCGAAACTTTAGGAGAGGCTCAATCACATTCTCAACTTGGTTGGGCCCATGTACTTCGGTCCTCCAAATACAACATACAATTATTATAGCTGTATTTAGACTGGAAGATACCCCAAATACAGTAATAATGACCGTATGTTGTATTCGGGGGACGAAGGTGGGTCAGGGATAAACCTCCCACAGACCAGACCAAGTCCTTTGTTGCTTCTTTGCTCCTCTGGTGGCATGACCAATCTCTCTAATTCAATATGCCGCTTGATTGCTGTTTTTCACTATCACTTTTTCCCTTTTTTTAACCGAGGGAAAGAACACAAGAATGCACAACGACTAGACGTGGTATGAACACACACAGAAGAAGAAAAGAAAAGTGCACAAATGCAAAAGAGTGGCTCTTTCAAAAAAAAAAGAAAAAAAAAGAAAAAAAAAAAGGCAGCTTGCAGAATAAAGCAGGCAAAAAATTGAAGCAACTAATCGCCGGACATAAAACCACAGAGGAAGAGGGAACTTTGAGGGCATAATCACACCGGGACCTTTCGGACTCCGCTCTGGACGTAATTGTGGCCAGGTACACACACGGATGGCCGTAATTGCAGTCAGATGCATCTAATTCTAAACAAGTGCTCATGTAAGTACACTCTTAAACCACCACTACTTCCCACTCACTTTCTTCTGGGGCTCCAAACGGCCTGCGCACCAAGCTTTGTCGAACCCCCACCGCAACATTTTTTTTCCCCTTTTGGCTGGCACCACCAGCCATCGTGCATCGTGGTCCGGGGGCAACACTTTTTTTTCCCTTTTAGCTGGCACCCCCAGCCATCGTGGTCCAGTAGACCCAAAATTAGACCCCCTTTCGGTTAACGTCAAGGGCCCGCGGCTGATGTATGGGTCAAGGACTGGTGGTTTAAACAGTGGAAGCGCACTGCAAGTGAATTGAACAATATCAAGCAAAATTAAAAACCTGAAAAGCTTGAATAATAATAATAAATAAGGTATTAATGCTTTATTAAAACGGATGGATTGGTACAAAGTCATCCCACGTTTCCCGCCATCTGTGAAACATCGCCACAGCACTCACTATAGGTCTTCTTTGACTGGCTTCTGGGCATAACTGCGGTCAGATACATTCAGGACGGGGCCGTAACTGGGGCCAGATACATCCAGAACAGGCCCGGAACTGTGGTCAGATACATACAGGAAAACCCTAGATTGAGTACAGTACAATCTAAGAGGGGCAAAACATCCCCGCCACGTAGGGAGAGGTGCCGTGCTGTTACCTGGAAGGTTATACAGGCTGGCTACCGTCTTCACCCGAATAGAACACCGGGTCATTATAGCTGCGTATCTGGACTGAAAATTCCACCAAATACGGCCGGGCATTTTACTCGGGTGAAGATGGCAATTGGAGCAGAGCACTGAAGAGACGTAAGCAAAGCAGCAGGAATAGAGAGAGGACTGGAGGGAGAGAGATGGTGGGGGGAGGTGAGGGGGGGAAGAAGAGGGAAAAGGATGCATGGATCAAAAGATGACAGGGGACAGAATGAAGGGGACTCGATGCAGGAGCGAAAAACAGAGAGCCTGGGTAGCCTGGAAGAAGATTGGAAAGAGTCAGAGGGGGAGAGGGGGAGAGGGGGAGTGGCGGACAGGGGAGGATGGGGAGACCGGGCAGGGGATGGGGGGCAACAGAATCCGAGGTGGGAACACTGTGAGGAAATGATGGGGGAAAAAACGCGAGACAGAAATGACGAGGAGAAAACACAATGCGCAGAAAGGAAAAAGGAGCAAAGAAAGCACGGAAAGGGAATGAGAGAGAGGGGAGAGAGAGAGAGGGGGGGGCGGAGGCGCGAAGGGAGGGGAGGGGACGGAGGAAATAAGGTGTCAGAGCAACAAGCTTTAGACCATGCTGGCCTGCACTTTGACTTTCTTGACTGCATGTGAAGGTAATCGTGCCCAGATACATGCAAGTGAAGTACAAGTGCGAGTGAAAGTATGCCCTTTACGAGGAGGGAGATGAGAACATCGCCCAGGATTATGGACACATACAGAATGCGCCACAGACTGCGAAAACAGTGGAAGGCAAACAAAGAAACCAATGGTTTGTGGGCAGACCGACACGACAAAAGAAAAGGAGCACGAAGACATACCATACCACGTGCGGAAGGTATTAAAAACCAAAAATCATGCTAATCTTAGCAATCTATGCTACCAGAGTGCACCGGGACAACTTGCCCGGCCGGGCCATATATATCGTCAAATAGAACTGCCATATATATTGTCATATTGTGAATCAGAGCGCAAAAAAGGGGAAAGAAAAAAGGAAAAGGAAAAAAGGGAAAGGGAAGGAGGTAAGGAAAGCTCCACCTGTTCATAACCTCTTA